ACAGTTTATTTTATTATCACTTATTTTTTTTTTTTAGATCTCTAAAAAGTAGAAAAGGAAAAAAATATATAAATTTGTGTACTCCTACAGACTACAGATTTTGTAAAAAGTCTGCTATGAAGTTAGGTAAATTATCTGCACAATATAATACCAGATCTTAAAGATCCCTGTGTGTGCCAAGGAGACTCAACGGCACCAGAAGGAATAAACAAGCCATTTCACGTAAACGTTCATGTTGTAATTAAAAGCCAATTTTGTGGCACATTAAAATGATAAAAAGAGAAATCTGACATTCAAAGTGATACATCGCTAATACTGTGTATTAGATTTGATACAACATTTTCCAAGACAAATTATTCTTAAATATACTTGCACTAGTTATTCTTTGATTCCATTCTTTTTTTTTTTTTTTTAAAGGTCATTCAAATTTAAGTAGGTCATCTAATGTAGCATATGTTAATGTCTGACTGATAAACTCCCTTAAAAGGTTTACTAGATCAAAACATTTTAAAAACTTTTCGAATTGACAATAAAGGAAGTTCTGGAACCAGTTCAGTTTTCTTCTCCCTTCTACTTTCTCTAGGATCTCCGGAGGTGGTGGTACATTACCAACGGACATGAGTGGTTCCTCCACTCAGCAAAAACAATACAATACATTAAAAAAGACTATTTTCTGAATTACAAAATGTATTAACTACACAGACCATGGTGTAAAAATTACAGAATAAATACTGCAGGTTTAATTTCTACATATTGGCAAATACACAATTATTATCAAGGCTATATCTTATAAACAGCAGAGCTTCTATCAGGCTGTAAACTTCACCCTCTCATTAATTCTAGGCACAAACGTCCGTATCTGTTAACCCCGCAGATTTCTTCATCAAGTTCTTGTTAAAAGGCATCGTGAAATCATCAAAATCCACTTCGTATGTCAGTCGTTCACGTTGCAGTACCCTGCTCCTTATTCGTTCTATAGTGTTGGGATGTGGGATCCACACCTAAAGATATAGTAAAAGTAGCATTTAAATTTCTAGAATTAAGAGAAAGTAACACATAGTATGAGAGAGGAGAGATAACTGCATTTATTTGCCACTCTAATAGGTTCTGCTAAACCTCATTAATTAGAAAGAATTTTAAGGTAAACATAATATCACTTATAGAACAGAAGAAATACACTTTAGCGCAATGGATGCTCTAGCTACACTTTTATTCCCTAGTGGCCGGCTGTCCATACACCCCCCGTTCGTTTACCGAACCAACTATGTGTGGGTGCATGGTATGTTGAATGTATTGCTTGTCTGTGCCTCTCCCCCTCCTCCTTTTTCCTGTCCTATTGTTTCCCCAGAAGGACGTTGTCCCAGGGACACTGCCAGACCAGTTGAAACCAGCTGCCTTGTCCCTCCTCAGTCTCCCATCAGCCCTTGCTATTGTCTGACCCCACCGTTCCTTATACTATAGTACTCTATGAACCATTGTATGTAAATGAGGCCGTTGGGGGCATAAAATATGTGTGCAATGTCTCGTAAAGTCAGTTGCTGTTTTAACCTTCACTGTGTGTCGTCTGATGTTTGGGGAAATGGATATAATCTGCTGATGGAAAGGGTATCCAGGGCTGTAAGCACATTAGCCTGGTCCAGGGTGGAAAAGGTCATCAGTGATCCCAGACATGCCTCGGTGACTGGATTTAAGGTGCTTCAAGGTCCCTGATAACTAAGAGGTTGGCGGAGGTATACGGTCGTATAGGTATACTGGAGCTCCGTCACACAAACAGCGTTTGCTACCTTTAAACAATTAAACATTCCAGATACACTTCATTTACAATTCTTCACATTTTCATATAAAAAGATATTCCATGTTTTTTTTTTAAATATATAGTTTCATATTAAAACATTTTTGCACAGCCCACATTATGACATGTGACAATTCCAACTTAACAAGCACAGAGAACCTTCTCTCTAGTAGTCAATCGAATATTATTTAGGTCTATAAATAAAATGTATGATTTATTTGTCTTACCGATTTAGGTACAAATGCTATGTCAATTTTTTTGGCTTCTCCTGTGGCTATAAGATTGTTCAGTTGAGCAATTTCATTCTTTTTTTCCTTATTGGCAAAAAGCTCCTCATTGGTTGGCTGGACCTGCACAGTAAACGGTAAATACATCATGATATTTCAATTATACACATTTTCTTTTGTAGTTAGTCTTTTTGGCCATTTTTATTATACACTGCTTATAAAAAAAAGCACATAAAACATGTTGTATTTTTTTAAAATGACAGATTAAATATACTAGTCTGATTTTTTTTTTTTTTATATTAAAGGGTTATTTTAAGTACCACAGCCACTTCAGTAATTTGAAGTGGTTATGGGGCTCTGAGTCTTTCAGTTCAAAATGCTGCACATATAGAAATATCTGAGGTTGCAGCCAGTGGTGTAACCTCACCTCCAACAGTGTAATTACCAACATGAGAGTCCTGGGATGGCTAATCTTTAATCTGTGCATATCAGGCATTTGTCATTAGCATGTATTACATATTGCTGTCTAATCTGTGCCACCCAATTTGTCCCTCAGCACATCCTCTGGGACATCTCTTTACTTGCAGTGGTGGGGAATGATGTCACCAGAGGAGGATTAGACTGAGGAAGAACTTGTCCTGGGTGTGGGATAGAAGGGGGGTGTTATGCTTTATTTTGTTTTTGGGTTTTTTCAGGGTGGGTCATCCCAGCAAAGGACTACTCTTTAGACCCCTATACAGCAAGTTAATGCAGACCCAGGAAACATGTCCACTGAGTGGTGGCACATAGAAAGAAAAAGGTCAAGTACTTTATACTTTGCAACCACTATGTTTCTCCTTCCTTATATCACGCTAGAAGCTTCATCACTAGTGATGTCCCGAACGGTTCGCCGCGGACTCATCATTGAGTAAGCTTTGACCCTGTACCTCACAGTCAGCAGACACATTCCAGCCAATCAGCAGCAGACCCTCTCTCCCAGACCCTCCCACCTCCTGGACAGCTCACTAAGAATGCAGCTTCAAAATGGATGCTGTCCAAGAGGTGGGAGGGTCTGTGAGGGAGGGTCTGCTGCTGATTGGCTGGAATGTGTCTGCTGACTGTGAGGTACAGGGTCAAAGTTTACTAAATGATGAGTCCGTGGCGAACCGTTCGGGACATTACTATTCATCACTCATTTTCTTGCAACTGTAAATGTCAAGGTTCTATGGAAAAATCAGAGAACACTGAACCCTCATGAAATCTTCTCATACATGCACAAAGAGATGTCAAGATGCCATAGACATCTGGTGCATACTGCGTGACATGATACTAATAATAAATAAAAACTCAAGACAACACAGGCAAAATTAATCAATATTGATTTTTTTCTTTGATTTGCCGTGTCCAAAGGCATTCATAAGAAAAAGGTACTTCCAACACTGATGCGTATTTTGTGATTGTGAGGCAATATTAAATTTTCTATATTTATTAACAGGCCCACTTCAATTTCTGAAGCTTAGTCACTTTATTAAATGGAGCATGTCAGTCATTTATGTATGTCCAAAAGCACATGAGTAACATTATAATTAATAGACATCAGCGAATCTCCTTTGGGTCAAAAAACTCCAGACAACCAGGATTAAGGAGTTCAGAAAAGTCCCTTCAAACCTGGTACAGTTGGCAGGTATACCATGTCAAACATCTCTTTTTCTACCACCAAACGTCCTAAATTCAGATGCACATGTTAAAAAGAATATATACATATAATAAGTAATAGAACAATCATTTCAATATATTCTAAATTGCATTTCACCTCCTCATCCTTTCCCTATTCTAGATTGCCCAATAGTCAGTCGTATTTAAATTCTGTAACAGCCTATAATAACATACCGCTGGTTTCATCTGTACTTCCTCTTTGATTCCAGGAGTTTGGGGTTTGGATTCAGCTTTTCTTTTGCCTTCCATTCCGCCTTTTTTATCTTTTCGTCTTTTCGTGTTGTCTTTTGGTTTTGGCAAGCTATCCAGCTTAGCTTTAACCACCTCAATCAATCTGTAGTCCCCATAAGCATTTGCAATATCTAAAACATTTTCACCTGTTAACGAAACACAAAATACAGACATTTTAAGGTTCTGCTTAACTTCTTGAAATCCAAGAATATCTTTGACCCAATTACCAGAGTAATGTTGGCATTTCAGCTATGTGCAGCAATGACTTTGATGTTAGATATGGCATTTTCACGACTTTGCGGTACCCTGAGGGAAACTCACCTCCTTCAATCCTAGTCGACCTTCTGCCGTATGATCAAATCACTCCACGAACGAGCGGTACACTGAAGGAGACTCACCTCCCTCGATCCTAGCCGACCTCCTACTACCGCACGGTCTGACTGAACTACGCTGTCGCACGGCAGAACGTGTGTGTGTATATATATATAGATAGATAGATGTGGACATGATGTCACACCCACTCTTAAAGTGACCACATAATCATTATGATCCTAATCTGTTTTGAATCGCAGTGATGGCGTGGACCTTTTAGAACATAGGTAAGCCTTTTTAAGGCTTGTTTTATCCCCCATTCATTGCCCTATCGTGGTTTCTGTTAGAACCTTGTTTAGTGCTCCTAGTGATTATCTTGTGATTTCCTATGTTTGACCTCGGCTTCGTATTTGACTCGTGATTTCTGGTATCCTGACCCTGGCTTTGTATTTGACTCGTGATTTCTGGTATCCTGACCCTGGCTTCATATTTGACTCGTGATTTCTGGTATCCTGACCTCGGCTTCGTATTTGACTCGTGATTTCTGGTATCCTGACCTCGGCTTCATATTTGACTCGTGATTTCTGGGATCCTGACCCCCACTTTGTCTTGACCCTGAGTATTTCTGTCCTTGATTTAT